TCCATTAGCCCATATCTTCTCAAAGCAAGAAGATATCAACACGATATAAAGTGCAGGGGTACATTGATCCAATAATGATCCACAGAAAATTTCGTGACAATCGGACATATCGTCTAGGAGAAATGGCCAAAAACGTGTTTTTCACAAAATTCAAAATGGCGGAAAATCTAGTTAGGCGCATTTGCATACCATGATTGACTTTTTTGTACAGCATGTCCAAGAGCACATTTGGCACATGTGTGCCAAATTTCAAGTTAATCGGACATCGGGGGGGAAAACTGGCCTAGTGGGGTACTTTTTTACCTTTCTAGGGGGCGCTATGGAGACATTTCTTTGTACCCAAATGCGAGACCCCAAAACTATCAAATTTTTTAACAGTCCAGATATACATGCCAAATTTAACAACTTTTTGAATATGATAAAGGCCTCAAAACGGTATTTGATTTGTGAGAACAATAATTCCTTGAAATACAATAGGTTCCTCTACGACTACGTCGTTGCGAGGACCCTAATTAAACAGTGTCTAAAATACAGACTTTCGAAACATTCATTAAAAAAACATTGTAACATCAACATTCATTAATCACGATTAATGTATGTTTAAATGTGCTATTAATTAGTTAACTGTCTATTGACAGCCCTAACACACATATATATATATATATATATATATATATATATATACTTCTTTGGTGGCATGAATCCGCTTGAAAAAATTGTGCCATATCATTCACCACTACCTATAAGACTTAAAATGCCAAACGCTGCAGCTCATGGTTGATGATGGATTTAACCTGTTATTAGTTATGTATTAGTTATCCTTGCAGTTCTCCAAGCATTTATTATGTATTTATTCATCCCGAGCATCCCACCGTGGAATAAGGTCTGAATCAGACTATGTGCTAATCAGGGCCAGAGTGATCTCATCTTGATCAATCAAGAATGTAAAAAAAGATTTATTGATGGTAAATTGTAGGGGTGGGGGCGAAAATCGATTTCTCTCGATTCTCTCTAGAACGATTCGGTCTCGATTCAGAAAAGTTAATAATCGGAATTTTAAAAATGAAATTAGTTCGCCTGCTGCAACATTCTGTTCGCCCGCGGCAGAACGCAACAGAAAACTCTACTCTCTGGCCTGCTGATGCTCTGCTATACATGCATGCGCACTAAGCGCACATGTTTTAATGTTTATAAACAAAGTTGAAGCGTATGGCGGTAAATCACTGTCAAAATTCGAGAGCGCAAATCAGGTTGATGCGCGCGCGTAAATCAAACATTCGTGAGCAAATCTCTGTCTCGCGCGAGCAAATCTCCGTCTAGCACGAGCAAATCTCTGTCTAGCGCGAGCAAAAGTTCATCTCGCGCGAGATATTTATTTGCTCGCTCGGTTAATCTCTGCTCGCGCCCGAAGGTGTTTTCTACACGCTCGCGGTTTTTCTTTTTGACAGTAAGGGGGTGGAGCCAGTCACCAAGGGTCTCTACACCTGATTGGTTACAAACCGCGTCTTTGGATTGGCTGGAGTTATGCGTTCACACAACTATAGAAGCCCATTTCTGCACTATAGAAAGGGGATAGAAAGTCGAAATTATGAGATAAAACGTTGTCAAAAAACAAACGCCCCCCTTCGGTAATCGTAGTGGACCGTAGATGACAACCAGCTACAACCATAATTTACCATCATTACCGGCACATTAAGAGCAATGCGTCCAGCTCGCAGACCGTTCCGTATTTGTAAAATACCGGTTCGTCAGTCTGAATCTGTGAATATCTAATAACTTTACCGAACTATGGAGGAGCCAGCCGGTAAATAATCTTACCTCATTATTTCAATTTTCCAAAAAGTCTATCCGTATTGAAAGTTGGCAAGATATTCACAGATTTGGACTTTTTTCCGGTATTTTACAAATACGGACCGGTCTGAGACTAAGAGCAGCCTTTTCTTAATTTAAAAGAAAAATGAATCTGTTTAATATTTTTTTTTACATAGGCTACTTCCATATTGTGTTGAAATGAAAGCTGCATTGGTTCTTGCATTGTTGATAGAAAATCATATTTGTGACAAAGATTTTTTTTTCTCTTATAAAAAATTAGAGAAGGTAATTCATCTGTTAATTTTCTTTAATTATAAAATAAAGTAGGAAGTGATTAGCAACCTCTGATTTCATCATATTTAACCATGTGTGTCCTTTGTCTCGTTGTTACTCCTAAATCTCAGGCGTTACACCTCCTGGTTATATCCCTGCACTGTTCTAGGCTTTCACTTTATTAAAGATATATATTTTTAAACCCTGGTTCTGTGTTTGAGTCCTACCTTCTTCTGAAAACCGGACATTGTTACAGCTTCAAATTGTCTTGGCCTTCTATTTTCAAAACACTTGGCTGTCACACCATCAATAGAAAGAGAAGGATCACATAGAGATGACAAGGACAAAGACGGACAATGGTTCAGGGCCGACACAACCGTGACTCACCGGCATAGTCAGGAGTTGCTGACAACAACCGTTGGTCCGTTCACACAGAGACAGACAATTGCAAAGAGTTGAGACAAAACACCAACATACTAACCCAACCCCCCAGCCTGAATGAAGAAGGGCAGACTCTGCCTCAGTCAAACAGACAGAAAGAGGTGGGGTGCAAAGTACTGGCACAGACATTCACAAAGCCCTTGGGAACCTAGAGATGAAGGATAAGCGAGAGGGAGGGTGAAGGAAGATGGGGGCTTGCCGCAATGGCACTTTCAAGCAAGCAACCTATGGAGCAAGGCACTCAGGAGAACAAAATGATCTACCCCTCCCCCTCTTCCATGTGTAGGTCAGTGTGCTCGGAAGGAAGGTCAGTGCAGTAGCTTCTCTGCAAAATCTCCTCCACATGTTATCTGCAGTGTAACAGTCAGCAGTCAGTCTCCATTCAACCGCAGCAAAGAGACACCATACCACTCTACCAAATATTGACGACAATATTCCTATTAGCTTCCAAACTAAGGCATGGTTTTTGAGCACGGATACGTCTAAAAAACCCTCCAGAGGACTCCGGTGTTACCACCTTGTGTGGACAGGGGTAAAAAACACAATATGGGCATTTTCTTCTCTTTATCTGTTTATGGAGTTAACAAATAAGTCAATAGATGATGCGACTGTGGTGCATCCTTATTATATCTCTGGACCCACCCATATTCTAAATGGGGGTAAGATGGTGAACGTCTAAAAACACGTTCATTTTTATAAGCTTGATAAGAGGGTACCTGATACCTGACAACTCCAAGCGTCTTCCAATCTAAATGTGTTTCACTTCATCCACTCGGGAATACACACCTGCAGTTAACTAATGTTTTGTATGGCAAGTGTCTGAGCTTCACAAACATTAACCGAGGACATACATCAATTACCCAAGCATTAACAGAGAGAATGTGTATAAAGTAAGCATCTTTAGATTAACAACTACAGAACCCTGCTAGGACATATTTGTGTGTATCAAATTTAAAGCAACTCCTGGATTGTCTGGAACCCTGTCGAAAGAATCAGGAGTAGTCTAGAACCTCCTGTTTTCAAAGAAGCACAGATTATGTGAAAGTAAATTAAAATAGCTGTAACAATGTTGTTACTTGTTTCACAAAAATTCCCAAAAAAAGAAATGGGAAGGGAACCGCAGCAGGCCAAAGAATGTTGGAAACAATGTTGGAAGACAGATATCTGATTACAGTCGATGTATACTGTAAAGTCAAGGCATACCTTGAAGAGGCAATGACCAGAAACACTGGTCATAAGCAACATTATGAACACAAAAAATCCACCTAAAAATCCACCCAAAATACAGCTGCAGACAGAAAGACGATTTCCAAACTAAATGGCCGCTACTTGTATCTCGTTTCTAGTCTTCCGACTATTCAAAGAGCTTTAACATTACATTTTGTCCATAATAAATAAATAAATATATATTTGTATGGTGCACAAGCTACAATTAACAACAGCAACACTGTACATGGCAGGTGGAGCATTCCAACCAGCCTGCGCAAAACAGGTGAAAGAGAATATGTAGGAGGAGGAGGTGTTGGCGAAAGAAGTACGGAGGTGGAGAAAAAAGAAGAGGAAGTGTTGGGGAAAGATGTGACGAGGAAAAGGAACAGTACAGCAAGTGAAGGGACAGCTATATAATTGTTTGGCTTACTGCCTGTGTTAGGTGAGAAGATGAAGCATCCATGGCCCCCCACACAAGCAATAGTAGATGTGTGTGTGTACAGGTATGTTTGTGCATAGGTTGGCAGAATGCATTTTAAGATAGCTCCAAAAGAAAAAAATAAGGAGGAAGAAATTGATCTCCACCCTGACACAGCAGCCCCTCACTAACTGCTGTTATGACGCAGTCTCTCTTTTTGGATGCGCACACACCCTTCCTATGAAGGTTATATAGATAGGAAGGGTGTGGGAAATACTCCCATGAGACAATTTTGACCAGAATACAACCTCAAAATTGACATGCAAGCACTGCCATCTAATTCAGCCTAACCGATCCACACTAATTCCAATGTCCTTTATTCCGTCTTAGATCATTCTAGCACGGTGCCATTGTGGTGGCTGCACTGTCAGAGCATGTAGGAGGAGAAGGCCTGCTTTACCACGAGTAGTTATTGAGTATCCTGTATTTGAGGCTTAATCGATCACGCAGAGATGCACCTACACCATATAATAGATTGAAGCTAAACATCTACATCGCTCTAGGATTCTACATTCTATTTTGCAAAGCAGGTTGATCAGCAAGGAGAAAACAATGACAACTGTATACTACTGCTATTATGTCCGGATGGTTGCAGCTGGGAGTGAAATATCACTCATCCCATGCAGATGAAGCTAGAGCCCACAAGCCCGCTTCCCATTATCAGCAGTCGCAGTTTATCTTAATTCTCTAAACGCTTCCCGCCAGCAATCTTCTAGGACTGAATAGGGGCACAAATCTACTGTACATTACACATGGTTGTAACGGAGGCTCAGCCAGCAGGACTTACCCGGCCATGCTTCAGAATATCCCGGTGAAAAAGTCCGTCGTACTCGGTAGACTACCATCCACACCAGCAGTGCCTTTCCAAAACTGCCGACTGACCACCCCCTCCAATCCGCGCTCCCTGTGCTCTCCCGCTGCTGCTGCGGGGCGCGCAAGTAGGGTCTGGTTCGCGCGCATTGTTTGGCAGAATCAGCGACGCCTGTCGGAGAATCTTCGTTTTTAGTTAAATAACGCGAACTAAAATAAAATAACATTTTCAATCAGTAGCTGCTGGTGGAAAATGTTCAAGTTAGGGCAATCGAATCAGTTTCAGTAAACATATCATGTTGATTTAATGCAAAACAATATATATATATATATATATATATATATATATATATATATATATATATATATATACATACATATATATATATATACATACATATATATATATACATACATACATATATACATATATATTATATATATATAATATATATATAATATATATTACATTCTTACATGTTGTTAACCCACATTTATGCTCTGTGTTCTGCTGTTGGGTCCAGCAACACAACTAACATGACAGAAGCATATCAATCATAAATGCCCCTTACCTTTGCCGTTTTCAATGTGGACCGCAAACAAGTGGATATCAAAAAACAACGAGCCTTTCATCTGTCAGATCATTCTAGCACGGTGCCATTGTGGTGGCTGCACTGTCTTAGAGCATTTAGGAGGAGGCCTGCTTCACCACGAGTAGTTATTGAGTATCCTGTATTTGAGGCTTAATCGATCATGCAGAGATGCACAAGGAGGCAAGCATCACAACCATTCCTCACATTCTTGGTCATTACCTTACTGAATAACTTGCACTGATTGGCGTCAGCCTGGGTTGCTTTTGTATAAAATGAAATGCGTCCATTAGTAAGCAAGGATCGCTAATTCGCGATAGTTTTTCATTAGCTCCTGCCAAGCGCGCATGTGTGAATTGATTTTTTTTTTTTATCCACGGCAGGCGATCTACTGGTATTGGTAAGTATTTTTGGTGTAAGCTTGTCTTCAATGTGTACAACAAGCCAATTTCTGTTCATAGACATTTCTTTGGTTACTCTGATGACGACAGTAAGAAGGAAAATAATTATGAAGAAAGAGCGTTGCCATTTTAACACTGTTATAGAGTTAATTTGAACTCTTATATAGTTGAAATTTAACAATACTCAAGCATTAGTTTCTCAACACCAGTGGGTAGTGTTAGAAATTAATACTTATAGGAGTAATTAAGCCAATCTTTGGCTTGAAGAAAGTTGACCACTTGGACAGGAACTTCTGAGACACTTCATCACCAAACATCATTAAGGAATCCTGGTCGATCTACAAACAAGGAAAATAATATTTTAATATACAGGTTCAAGCATACATGACAAAATTGATGAAGGTCAAATACTGAAATGGAAGAATGAAAAGAAAATTACACATTATAGTATAGTGCAGAAAAATATTATATTGTCCTGCACTGTACTACATTACTGTTCTACACTGGATAGGACTACTACTCCCAAAGGAAAAGATTTTTCTTACCAATCCAGGTACATCAAGAAAACAAGGGAACACATTCAGGACTAAAGATGATGCATCATCCCCAACCATGTTCTGTCGATACTGGAAAGTCGCTCTCATCTTCTCTTTGACCACAGATTCATCGCTGGAATGTCCTATTGTAGATTTGCCTCCCTGCATTCCTCACCAAATAGCTGTTGACAGGTTGACAGAAATTCTCGTCAGGTTTTTGGACCATGCTAAAGAACGGTCTTGGAATGACCCCGCGAGCCAGCAAAGGTGTTGCGTTGAACCATCTTGATCCTCCATGAAATGTAGCCAGTATTACGCTCAGGATCATAGTAGTGTTCCTTTTTAAAGAAAGACCCAAACAGATGCATCCCATGCTTCACTTTAAGAATAAGTTACTTAACACAAAAATTGTAGACAGTGAATATACTGCAAAACATGCAGCTAAGACGTGGGAACCGGTTCTGGCTCTTAGCTAGCCAGCTAACTAGCTTTTTTTTTATTCAAAAGAATGTTTGCATAACTGAAGTATCATCACATAACCTAATGTTACATTGCCAAACTTTAGAAACTCAACAGGAATTCTATTTAGCTCACAGTCAGACTCAACCTCTCTTTGTGTTGTGCGTTGCGTTCCAGTTGAGTTGTGCAGCGACTGATGTAATTTACTTGACTCCCGCCAGATTGTTGCTCTCACAAGATTCTTGTTCGCACGAGGCCATAGGGTAGTCACTCATTACACCCGACCTGTTAGACTGATGACTCCTAGAGTTGGTTTCACAATAACAGTAATAACACTCCATTTTGACACCAACTCTTTTGTTGTGCAGTATGAAATTAAACAGATTTAACAACATAGAGATTTAGATCAATTCCAAATAGTTTGATTGACTATCTTTATCAACACCAGAAATTTAACTCTGCTCAATTTGCTGTGTTGGTGTTAAAAGCTGCTTAACGTGTGTTGTCAGATAGGTAATTAAACACACTGATCCCAAAACAAATGTATTGTAAAGGTTTGGGCTCTTTAACCCAGAGGTAGCTGGTTACCTACTTATCTCTAAAACAGCTAGCTCAACATGTGGTTTCTAACTGAGTCTGTTGTTTAACTTTTGTACGTTGTACTTTTTGTTTTTCTCTAGTAGGATGGGAATGTCACCGTAATAGACAAATCTGGCCCTGGTGAAGCCGGAACAGTGTCTTCACCTAAATGAGTGCATCCAATCTCCCCCCAGACATCTTCCCGTTTGGTGATGATAAATCCAAAGAAGAACCTGCAGCTTCCCAGTCCTCCAGAATATGTGGTCTATAGGGCTGTCAACGAATATTCTATATTCAAATAGTTGTTAAAAACAACTATTCGAATGCGAAAATTAATAGTCTAATCATGTAAAGCGGCGCGACTGTCTGCTTTGCGGGCAGGCATGCGCCAGACTACTGACTATATATTGCATGAATAAAATAGACCAGATAGGCTACAACAGCTTCATGCACTGGTTTGATTATTTCCGTTTTATCCCAAGGAAAAGATTTTTCAAAGATCTTTTATTGTATCTTTTTCCGGTTCAGATATAAAAACGTTTTACAGATTTACTCTTAGTGAAAAACCACAACAAAGCTAAGCAAAGGAACAACAGAGATCACAGGTGGAGAACAAGAGTGTTCTCCCTGACTGAACACAGGAGGTCCTCCAGACCCCAAACTTCACCCTGAGCCGAGCGGCCAGCAGCCCCATCAGCATCAGACTCACATCCTCCGACCCTCCACCCCGCATACGGCTCTTCCTTGTTTTCCAAATGGCCAGTTTGGACATTCCTGAAAGGAAATTCAAGAGTGTGTGAACATTTTTTTTCCAGCAGAATATTTAGGGCCGTCAATAAATAGTGGTAAAGAGAAGGGTTCTCATAGGGCCGAAACCAGGCCTGCAAGCGTCCGAAGAGCCCCCTCAGTCTGGAGCACTCGACAAAAAGGTGGTGGACGGTTTCACACTCACCGTCCCATTGGTCAGCAAGTGATCGGTCCTCTACAAATAGCCTGAAGGCTTCTGGCAGGGAAGCACAGACCTCCTCCACCAGCCGGAACAGCAGCCTGTTGGACTGGACGTGGGTCATCTCCGCCAGGCGGGGGATGGAGATTTTCACCAGGTGACCCAGCTTCACACAGCTGGCCTCTCTCAATCGGGACCTCATGCTGACGGACGTCAGGACCTGAGACGTGATGAAGCTGTCCCCAAACAGCGGCTCCTCAAAGAGCCACATCCCTGGTGTTGTCTCAGCGCTTGTGGGTGAGAACCTGCCACGCCTGAAGGACGGACTGGTAGAACGCTGTTAGGCCAGTTAAATCCACTGTCTGGGGCTCAAGCAGAAAGAGATGTTTGTCGTACCCATGCGTCCAGCCCTCCTCAGCAGCACACAGGCACTATCAGTCCACGGCAGACCGAAACTGTAGAGCAGTCTCTGGGCGGTCAGCAGTCTAAAAGCTGCTACTCCTGGATCGGTAGCAGGGCTGTAGTGGAGGGTAAACGCACGTAAACGCACGTAAACGCCGTTTACGCACCTCTGGAATTTGGAAATAGCGTTTACGCACCTATAAATAGCGTTTACGCACCCCTAAGTGGCGTTTACGTACCTCAAAGTTCCCTGCGCCTTGTATTCTTCCGTTGGAATAATCCGAAATAAACTTGGTGTAATTTTAAAACAGCTAAGACTACGTTTCCTATTGTTGAACATATAAACGCCGTAGTCTGAATCATGTTCATCTGCGCTGTATTACGGTCTGTGAGCATCCAATCAGTGCCTTGCGGCTTCAGCAGCGACCAATCAGGATCCAGGAGGTATGTAAACACATAGACAGTGTGGATCAGCCCAGTGGTCCTCAACCTTTCTTACCTCACGGACCGGTTTCATGTCAGACAATATTTCGCGGACCGGTCGAGAAGGACCGACGGGGGGGGGTGTAGTAGTCGTTGCAGGCGGAACGACCGACTGGGAGGGGTAGTAGTCGCTCTGTGTTCGCTGGTCGTGCACGGTAAAAGGACAAGAAAAACACCTGGTGACGCGTAGATTAGAAAACAAGTCAGTTCTCAATGTGAAAAAAAACATGCTGTAGGCTATTTATGATGACATAGGTAGTACATGAGTGTTCCTTTAACTTATGTTGTCAGTGTAATTGACAGGCTGCTTAACTGGTTAACTCTTAAATTCAACATATTTTTTCAGGCAGTGAGAGGACAGGCAATGATGCAGAGAGCACAGGGAGAGGAGAAACACCAGGTCCAATAGAGAGAGAAGCACAGAGGAGCCATGAACCCCAAGGCAGGACCTGACGTGGAGGACAAGGAGGCCCCCTGGGCACTACTGTGAAAATATCCAACTACATATCCATATGTAGATAGTTCTTAATCTGCAATTGTCTTGTTGTGTTGTGTTGACATACTTTTCTTCACTGTTTTCTTAGATTTAATAAACTACAAACTACTTACACATTTATCCATTTTCATTGATGTTGTATATGACTTTTACTGATAACATAATGTAATATAGCCAGGACAGCCTTACAGAGTTGCAACGCTTTGTGTTGCG